ATCTATAATCTATTTGAAAACCCTTAAAACTCAACAGAAAGCAGCCAATCCAAGGAGAAAATGGGCAAAGGCATGAAGAGCCATCTCACTAATGAGGACCTGTGGAGGTTAAGGAAGCTCATGAAACGCTGGTCAACATCATTAGCAAATAGGGAAATGCAGAATAAAACCCCCATGACACACCACTGCACTCCTATCAGAATGACTAAAATAACAAACAGCGACGACACCAAATATTGGCAAAGATGTGGAGAAACTCGATTGCTTGTACATTGTTGGTGGGAATGTAAAATAGTACAGTCACTATGAAAAAATTTGACGGTTTAAAAAAAAAACTAAACATACAACTACCATATGACCCAATAATATCCCAGAGAAATGAAAACATGTTCACACAAAAACCAGTACCCAAATAATTATAACTGCTTTATTCATAATAGCCCCAAACTGGAAATAACCCAGATGCCTTTCAATGAGTGAGTGGTTAAACAAACTATGGTATCTTCACACTATGGAATACTACTCAGCAATAAAAAACAAAAAGCAAACCACAACAGACATGCGCACACACACACACCACACACACACACACACACACACACGCGGATGATCTTCCAGAGAATTATGTTGAATGGAAAAAGCCAATCCCAAAAGGTTACATACCACATGATCCTAATTATATAGCATTCTTGAGATGACAAAAATCATAGAAATGGAGAACAGGTCAGTGGTTGCTGGGGTAAGGAGAGGGCAGGAGGGGAGGGAAACAAGTGTGACTATAAGAAGGCCCACACGAGAGGGACTGTGGCATGGAATGTCACTCGCCCCTGCACCAGTGTGCTGCATTCCCGCGGCACCCCCGAGGGGAAGCAGGCACAGAGTGCGGGAATGTCCCTGCGTCGTTACTCAAACTCCATGTGCATCTACTGCTACCTCCAAAATGAACAGTACAAGAAGTAAGAGAATGACTGTAGTAGAAAAAGGGGTTGAACTTAAGAAACGGTAAAGGGCATTTATGATCAAGAGAATGAGTGAGAAAAAGATAAACATGGAGGGAAAAAAGAACCAAACCAAGAAAGAGAAGGGAAATAAAATGCAATGGAGAACGAGTGTGAATGCAAGAGGGTCAGGGATATCCACAGAGACAAAGACTGGGATGGGGCAGGGAGGGCAGGCGCCCCACCGTGCTGTGTCTAGCCTGTGCTCCCTCGGCCCCAGCCACTCCCTGGGCCTCTTCTGCAGTCACCAGCAGACCTGTCTCTCTAGCCCCAGTAGGAAGCCGTCACTGCTTCTCCCTGGCAGCGTCCTTTGCCTCTGTGCCCTGGGCATGTCCCCAGGCAGTGGTCTGAGCAAGCGCCAAGGGCTGGCCGGGTGGGTGTGAGCCAGCCAGGCTTCCAGCTCAGGTGCCTGCACAGGTCTGGCCTGAGGGAGGAGCTCCTACATCTTTTAATAAATGCGAGATACATTTGGACTTCGTCTGGTGAAGGACACTTTGCAAAGCAACCGAGGAACCCGGACTCGGGCTGGGGAGGCCTTCGTGCCCTGATGCCCCGTGCGGTGGCTGTGCTACATGGGTGGGGCGGGGTCCAGGTTGGCTGGCTGGCTGTCCTGAGACACAGGTCAGCCCCACGCAGCACTTGAGGTCCTCCTGGCTCTCACGCCTCCCCTGCCTCCTCTGCCCCCTTTTCCTTTCTGAGCTGCAAGAAATGCTGAGGAATGATGGCACTGGGGCCACCCTGATTGTCAGGTTGAGAGCCGGCAATGTGAGAGAAGGTGCAGGGGTGGGCAGCACACCCAGCCACAAACCACCGAGTCGCAGGGCTGAGAATGAGACAGTGATGGTGAGCCTGCTCTCTCCCACCCCTCCCCTCCCTGTCTCCTGCCGCCACCCCTTCTCATCCTCCAGACTCTCTGGCCACCATATGGGTTGATCCCTGGTCCCCAGGAAGTGCTGTTGCCATCTGCCAACTGGTCAGATCACCTTGACCTTTGCCCCCTGCCGCTCTGGGTCTGGAAAGTTAATGGAACCTAACATTAAGCCAGCCAGGATCTCCAGGGTCAGTGTTAAACAAAGGTTTGGCTCTAATATTTAACTCAACGGGGCTCTTGGCAAGGGTTACTGCCACCGAGCTCTGCAGACTAGAATAGCGCCCTTATCAGAATGTCAAGGCAGGAGGAACTAGATTAGCTGCTGCTGCCTCCGGGCAGGGCTGGCCAGGCCTCCTCACTCGCTGGCAGGGTCAGAAAGAGGGAGCCTGTCGGCTCCGTTTCATTGTTTTGGAGAGAGCCGCTCTACAGGTCTTTTTGAGAAACGCATTCAGGTATTTTTATTCAAATGCATACTGTAATCCATTGTGTACGAACTCCTATTCTCTTTATCGTGTCTTTAGGAAAAACAGAAAAATTCCTCCGTGGTTGATGCTGAGCTGATTATTAGAGGTGTCTGCAGACAGATCCCTTTGCAGAAACGCTGCCAACTGGCAATGCTGTGGCACACACAGCGACAGCCATAATGAAAACGGCTCCCTTGGGCCACCTAATGATTCCTGGACCCCCTGCTCTCTCCTGACCCTCCTTCCACTCCCAGCCTCAGTAGTCAGTCACTATTGGCTCAGAAAACACAAGCGTCTGCTAACATTCTCCTGCGTGGAAAGCGTAGCACTCCCCAGCAGTCACTTTCCAAGGTTTTCAAGAATTAATCATTTCTGGCACATGGTAACAAATGAACAGTTGCCGGACAAATTTAAAAACAAAAACCAGAAGTAGATGCAGTTTCTAAGCACTCGAATGCACAGCACACCTGTTTGCGGCTTTGCCCACAGAATGCACCAAGAATCGGATCATGTTAAGAGCACATGGGAGCTGGGGAAGCCGCACTCCAGTTGTTTCTTCCCTCCCATGGGGTCAGCTTCCTCACAGATGCCTAGAGCGGCCTTAGAGTCTCCCGAATTCCTGGGCAAGAAACTGGGTCAGTCAGGAGCTCGCAGAGAGCCCCAAAGGGATCTTGCGATGCAGCCTGCACCAGGGCCAGGGAGGCCAGGGCGTGCTGCGACAGCCCCACACTAATGTTTCTGCTGGACCCACAGAGGGACGCTCTTTGCCCCTCGCAGGTCGTGCCAGCGGACTGCAGAGAGCCCCACTAGACCTGACCTCATCCCAGAGAAGGCAGCTGAGCTCTGGGGACAGCCCTGGGCAGAGTGAGCAGCACGCCCCATCTCCCCCCCCCAAGTCAGCTTCAACCCATCCTCCGCTGCAGCGCTTGCTGGACGGGGTGCTTTCACCTTCTCCTGTGAGGAAGCCACGCTCACAGCAGCTTTTGGAGAGGCCGGGAACACCCGTGCCTGAGCGGTTGGGCCCTGTTGGAGAGCTCAGCAGTAGGCCCAGCAGGCTGTTCCCGGGACAAGCACTGTGCTGTGTGGAATGTACATGCAGGTGCTATGTGACATCTCCTCTCTTTCAACGGTGGCCCTGCCACTGTTCAAGAAGCACACACCATGCTCCCCAGGACTCTGACTGAAGGCCAGGCCTGGTACCTCTAAGCAGAGCGATGCCATCTCAGGGACTCGACAGCTGAAATCACAGTCGAGCTGACCAAGGCTTTCATGTCAGCCCCAGCGCTGTCTCCTCTCTGTCACCTGGCATACTCTGCTGTTCCTTTAGCCCACAGAGTCTAGGGTGCCTGAGGGCCCATCCAGCCAGCTGGTGGGACCTGCACCTGGGTTTGAGGGAAAGGCATGGATTTGGGAAGGACAAACACCTTTCAGGATTAGCTTTTGATGGTGGAAAGCCTCTGGGTTTGAAGCCAGAGGACAAGGGTTTCAAAGATAACAGCCCTGCTGCAGAGCACTGGGAACTTGTTAGCTTTAGTCTCTTCTATAAAAAGGAGAAACAAGCTCTGCCCCACAGGACTGGTGTCAGGATCAACTCCCGTAAATGCACCTAGCTCAGCACCTTGGTTCCACAAACATCAGCCTCTTTCTCACATGGGAAAGCGCTTGTGAACCAGAAAGCCAATAAGGAGTAGTTTGTTTTGGAGTCCGACCCAGGAGAGAATCCTGCTGTGTAAACTGTGTACCTAAGGCAAGTTACTCAGCCTCTCTGGGCTGCCATTTCTCACCTGTAGAACGAGGGTGGTAATCTCTGCTTCATTAAAAGGATTTAGTGAGAGTGAGTACTTGACCAGGATACATGGTCCTGTTGGCCTTCTGGTGCTTGAAAGGGCTCTCAGAGCAGGTGCTGGGCTGGCCTCGCAGCTCCCCCCTCCCTGCCCGTGTCTGGGGTCGGCCCTTGAACTTTGGGGCCAGCACTGACCTGAGGCCCTCCACAGAACCTAGGGCAGGGAAGGCACACACAGAGCCAGGGGTCTGGCACCTCCCCAGAGAGATGCATGGGTTGGGGGAGAAGGGGATAGTGACAGTGCCACCCTTCCCTGTTCCCTGGCCCGGGAACCTTGACCCCTGGCATCTCTGAGCAGTTTGGAAGATATTTAAAAAGAGATGGGGAAGTATGCAGAAAGTGACCCAGCAGTGAGGAGGCCAGAAATAACAATGCCAATGCCCGTGACTCCAACTTGGTCACACTTAAAAGAGAAAGCAAGCCTGAGCTGAGGACTGAAGGCTGAGGGAGTGGCTGTGCCCACCTGGCCCTCTCTGCTCCCATTTGGAGGTGGAGTTGCTAGGGCGGGCAACCATGCCCCCCCACCTCCCCCCCCTGCCCACTGCCCCGAGATTTGGGGCACCCCCAGGTATCCCTGCTCTCTGCCAGAAGGGGAGATGCTCACAGCTGGCCTCCCGGGCCTAGGGCAGCTGCAGAGCTCCAGTTTCCCAGCTGAATTGGGGACCGCCCTAAGCTTTTCCTTAAGCCCCCGCTCTCAACCCCTCCCCCAAGTGCGCCTGAAAGCCTGTTGCTGGCGGTCATGGACACCTGAGCGTGCGACCCGCGTCCTGCCTTCCAGAACCGCGAGCTGGGGAGAAATGGAGGAGGAAAAGAAGACGACTTACTTGTTGAGATCAGAGCCTCCAAGTCCCAGTGATGCTAACTTCTGGAATGTCGCTCAGAGAGGAGCAGGGGTGGTTCAGGGCTTCTGAGGGGACTCTCCAGCCCCGGCCATTACCTTGCGACTAGCTGTAGTCCAGAGCGTCTCCTGTGGACAGCGGTGTCTAAGCCATCCTGTCCCTTCACTCTCCGGCCCCTACGGTCACTCCCTTCTCTAGCGAGAGCAGCGGAGGCGCGCGCTCGCTCTCTCTCCCGCCCGTACTCCCTCCCTCCTCCCTCGCCTCTCCTCTCCCAGGGTTCTCCTCCCTCTGCCCCCTACTAATGAAGCTCTGGGTAATAAGGCGACTGAAGGGGCCTCAGGCAGAGGCGGTAGGCTCTGGCGGGGTGGGCGGGGGCTCCGTGGGATGGGGACGCCGCAGGTCCAGGGGACTCGGGAGGAGAAGGAAGGCGGAGAAACACCGGGGCGGGCAGGCAGCCCTTCACTCCCTTCCCACTGTCCACTGCCCTCGTCTCCCCAGGCTCGCGTCATCTACCTGCTACACCCCGGCTGCTGGTACTGGGGTGCTTCGGTCTTGCAGGTGCAAGGGACGGAGATTTGTGCACGAGCATGTGTGACAGCGCCCCGTGCTAATGTGTGAGCGCCCCGTGCTAATGCGTGAGCGCCCCGTGCATGTGCGTGAGCGCCCCGTGCATGTGCGTGAGCGCCCCGTGCATGTGCGTGAGCGCCCCGTGCAAATGTGTGAGCGCCCCGTGCTAATGCGTGAGCGCCCCGTGCATGTGCGTGAGTGCCCCGTGCTAATGTGAGAGCGCCCCGTGCAAATGTGTGAGCGCCCCGTGCAAATGTGTGAGCGCCCCGTGCATGTGCGTGAGCTCCCCGTGCATGTGTGAGCGCCCCGTGCATGTGCGTGAGCTCCCCGTGCATGTGCGTGAGCTCCCTGTGCATGCGTGAGCGCCCCGTGCATGTGCGTGAGCTCCCCGTGCATGTGTGAGCGCCCGGTGCATGTGCGTGAGCTCCCCGTGCATGCGTGAGCTCCCCGTGCATGTGCGTGAGCTCCCCGTGCATGCGTGAGCGCCCCGTGCATGTGCGTGAGCTCCCCGTGCATGTGCGTGAGCTCCCCGTGCATGCGTGAGCGCCCCGTGCATGTGCGTGAGCTCCCCGTGCATGCGTGAGCGCCCCGTGCATGTGCGTGAGCTCCCCGTGCATGTGCGTGAGCTCCCCGTGCATGTGTGAGCGCCCCGTGCATGTGTGAGCGCCCCGTGCATGTGTGAGCGCCTCGTGCATGTGTGAGGACTCCAAATGCGCGCCAGTGTTTAGTGGGTGCGGTGGGGGGGACAGAAAGGAAGACAGAAACTATCAGGGCAGAAATCTTGGCTCAGCCTTGGAGAAGCCGCTCCAGCCGGGCGGCGCACGGAGGGGGCGGCCAGGAGAATGTCTGCGCCCCCGGGGCGGAGCAGCGGGGAATTCCTTCTCGAAGTCCTGGAGCCACCGTCTGGCGCTCGTCCCCGCTCCGACGGCTTTCGGCTCTCGCTCTTGCGGTTGGGGTGAGCGTCTGGGGTCCTGATCCGCTTGCTGGAGGACGGGTCGCTGTCCCCGCTCTCTGCTCGCCGCCCGGACGCTCTCTCCGCGGCCCGGGCGGAGCGGCCACGCCCGCCGCGCGTCCTCCGCGGAAGGACCGTCCCGGAGCAGCGCAGCCCCGAGGCAGGGGCGGAGCGGAGCTGAAAGCGGCCTGGGCCCTCGCGGCGCTCCCCTTCCGACTCCTCCCCGCCTTGAGGAGAGACGATTACACGAATCTGTTCTTTAGTTCCGGTGAGTTGTAGGAAAGGCAGCTGCAGACGTCACCCTGCGAAGGGAGGAGCGCGCTGTAGAGGCCGGGTAGCTGTCCCTGGGGACTGGTCTGTTGCGGGCGGCGCTTCTCCCCAGGGGTTACCTCTGGCTCCTCTGCCCCCCAGCCTTCTGGGATCCACGCCCCTGCTGCCAGGCCCTCAGATGTCGTCTCTCTCAGGGGCAGACACAGCTTGATCAGCGTGGGGTAGACCTAGCACCCAGCACAGGTGCTAAGTGAAAATTTATCAAGTGAGTGACAGACGTCTGTAACAAGAAAACTGTTTATTAAGTCGCAGTGAGAAAAATGCTTGTCACTGGGACTGTGCCCTGAGTCAACCCTCTTCTAAGCACAGTGACATGGAAGCCTTGTCTCATGGCCTGAGGGTTCCTCTTGCCACAGAGACCAGCGTGCACACAGCCCGCTGCCCAGGTACCCTCCCCAGGGACGCTGTGTAGATTGTCTTGCCAGGCTTTGCTTCCTGAGTGCCTTCTCTCTCTCTGCAGATGGGTTGGTCACTCAACGTGGCTGCGGTAGATTCTGACTAACCAAATCTCTGTCCCCACAGGGGACTTAGCCTGTCTTGGTGCTCATGCATCATATATGGGTTGGTCTTACGGTTCGACACCCTGAGAAGAAAGCTCTCAATGGCTAATTTCCCGGTTCTCGGGAGAGGTCTTGGCGGTGTAGTTCTGAGATCCCAGCAACACACACTGCAGAAGCTCCAGGTGAGCCCTGATGGGGCCCTCTGTCCTGGGGCAGCAGCTGCCTTTGGATAATTACAGACAGTGCTATTCCTTCTGCCTGGTGAGAGCAGCCGGGCGGACTTTTAAAGCAAAGCCGAGGTGGTCTGGAAATATTGTTTGCAAATATTCTCTCAGTGATGGGACACTAGACCAGGAGACAAAAAAATTGTGTCCGGTTCTCAGCCTAGACCTGAAAAATGAGAAATTTGTGGATTCTAGTCCCAACTGATTTTTGTCAAATTAGGGGAACCTTAACTTTTCCATGCCCAAGTCTCCCAAAGAGCACCCACAGCATTTGAGGACAGGGGACACCATTGCAGGGCCATTGTGGGAGCTTTGCAAGATGCTATGTGTGTCTTTCATTGCCTGAAAGCCGATGAGGGGGCTTGAAATCAGCAAGCGGGTCTAGGTGTGGCCCTGCTGCGGCACAGCCCGCTGCCCCGTCCTGTCTTGCCTGCTTCCCCCCAGCAGGAGGGAAATTCACCAGTGAAGGCTTCTCTTTAGACACTGACACAGGAAATTATTTTTTCTCCTATTTATAGAAATTCCATTTGCATTTATGAGGTTGGTAATGTCTCATCAATATTTCCTGTCAGATAAAATATTAATTAAAAGAGCTTGTTGAGTTATACTCTGAAACCCTAAGTCTCTCCTACAACAAATATTTTGAGTATTTTCTCTCATGTCAGGAGAATTCCTCATACAGTACTTGTGCATGCTAATTAGCTCCTCTGTGAACAGCAGATATCTATCAGTTAATGAAGTATCATTTAGCAAGATTTAACAAATAATTGTGTAGCTGCCACCTAGTTTACAAAACAAAGCGAAAAACGCCAGCGCTGTTGAACCCAGGCTGGATTGCCTCCTCTTCCCTCAAGAGACAAGCACCCAGCAGCTTGAATGTGGCGTTTCCTTTCCTGTGGGTTTTCTAATGCAAAAACTCTCCACACAGGAGCACCCGCACGCACACACCTGGCCAATCAGGGACTATTGGCTCTATGTACCAATTTCACGTCCAGGAGCCCGTGAGCCGATGCAGGCCAGTGGCGTCCCAGGCCGTGACAGGGCTTGGAGAGGAGCCACAGGTGTAGTGTGGGCTTTGTTCTCAGAGGCCTCTCCTCTGAAGCGGGAAGGCTGCCACTTGTGTGGGAAAAGTTAGCAGGCTAATTAGCACCTGTGATTTTAATTCATAGGTGCTAATTGGGCGGTGGTGTGGAACTGCCAGAAATGCTGACAAAGGCTGGGGGTTGGGAGCTGAGCAAGGCCACGGCTGAGCAGGGGCCTCCTCGAGGGAGCCAGGAGGAAGACCAGGGCTCGAACTGAGAGTCCAGGGCAGGCTGGGCTCTGTGTTCAGGGGCCAGCAGGAAGGCAAGAATGGCTACCTGGGGATCAGGAGATACGGAGGCAGGGCAGTGGCTGTGATCAACTGAGTGCCTGCTGTGTGCTGGGCTCTGCTGGGGGCCTCACATCCGCAACTGCTGTGCTTTTCCTAACCACGTGGAGGGAGGGAGCATGGTCCCCACCTCTCGGAGGAGGAAACGGCCCTGCCGGCACAGCTACTAATAGTGAATTGCAGAGCATCTGTCAGAATCTTGTTAGATTCCAAAACCATATTGCTAATTGTTATGGGCTGAAACATGTCTCTCCCAAATTCATATGTGGAAGCCCTAACCCCAGTAGCTCAGGATGTCACTATATATGGAGATGGAGCCTTTGAAGGGGCGATTAAACTAAAATGAGGCCGTTAGAGTGGGCCCTAATCCAGTTTGCCTGCTGTCCTGGTAAGCAGAGGAAATTTGGACGCACAGGGAGGGGCAGGGATGCTTAGGTGCAGAGAAAGACCCTGTGAGGACAGGGAGGATGCCATCTGCCAGCCACGGAGAGGCCTCAGGAGAACACAGCCCTGTCAACACCCTTGATCTTGGACTTCTAACCTCCAGGACTGTGAGACACACATTTCTGTATTGAAGCCACCCAGTCTGTGGCATGTTGTCATGGCAGCCCTAGAAAAGGAATAGGCTAACCGCAGTGCCTCTCTGCCTCTCGGAGGGGCCTTCGTCCCAAGCTATGGAATTTGGATTTTCTGCAGATTGGAAATAGTGATTGAAAATCTCTGAGTTGTAGAGAATTGTGAACATCATTGTGAAGATTTTCCTGGGGTGTTTTGTGTATTATTTATTAATTATTCGTTTCAGTGAAGAATTATGGAGTGCCTATTTTGTGACCTCCTTGATTACAGGGACTGTGCTTGTCTGGTTCACCTTAGAGTGCCACTTGCTCCCAGCGCTGCACACAGCATAGAAGATGATGATCAGTACATATTTTCAAATGAAACAAAGGGTATGTGGAAGGTTCTGGGGATAGAAAAAATGACAAGAGGAACAGGGCTTGCCTTCAAGGAGCTTACAGTCTGCTGAGGATGACAGTCAGTGTGTGACCGGTTTAGGAGGGGCAGAGACGATTGTTATAAGCAGTGCCATTCAACAGAACTTTTGCAATGGAGGAAATATTTGATATATTTTCTGTATAATGTGGCACGGCACATGTGGCTTTCAAACATGTGAAATGTGGTACTGTAAATAAGAAATGGAAATTTAAATTCTGATTAATTTTAAGTAGGCATTGTGGCTGGTGGCTACCTTTCTGCACAGTCTAGGGTTAGAGGCAGAGAGAGCCTTGGGGACCTAGGCCCCAGTGCCACTTGCACGCAGGGCCGAGGCAAGGGCAGTGGGAGGAAGAACCCTGGGACTCGGTGCCCCCCACCCCCCTTGTGAGAGGTGCAGGCCCTCAGGCTCCATGCTCCACCTGCTTGAAGAGAATCTTCATTTTAACAAGATACCCTGGTGACTCATGTGCTCATTAGGGTTTGGAAAAGCACGGTCTAGCAGACACAGCCGAGAAAGGGTCAACAGACCCAAGTGCCTGATAGCACTGGGGCCCGAAGGAGAAGTGGCATGAAACTGGATGCTCAGAGCTGAACTGGCTAAGGTCTCTTGACTCTCCAGGGACAGGGAGGCCTCCTTCCCGGACATCTTGCCCCTCTGTGTCCCTGCCCTAGCTCTCTGACCGCGTGTGCTGGGAGTTCTGCAATCTGCCTCTCTCCTCTACCTGCAATCTAAGTTCTTTGAAGGTGCAGATCTTATTTTTTAAAACCACTGAATTCCCAGTGTCTGGCGTCACGCTTGTCACTCAGCAACTGTTCACTGAGTGTGTGCCAGCCTG